TTCTGCAAGGATCAAAGCACTCTGAAATGGATCACATTAGCAATTAATAACCATTGCCTATACTCCACCAGCATGAAATTGCTTATTTAATTCTAATCAAAGTTAAGTCTTGGTTTTCCAAGACTAGACTTTTTATAAACTTTACTGCAAAATCCCAGTGTTCTGAAGAAGTTTTTGCAATGCTATTTACAGTTTGGTTTTCGTGACATCCTGAAAGAGTTTGTTCTCTTCATTGCTCGCCTCACACAGGTGAATTACACAGCAGTAGCAGGATGCACAACCATAAACACAGCAGTCAGTCAGAAATGCAATAGCTGCTGAGCAACTTGACCTAGCAGTATCAACTTCTTAAGACTGGAAGTATAGTATGCTAGCAGAAACTATAGGAGGACATATATGAGACCAGAAAGCAAGACAGTGATGTATAGTTGAGACATGGATTCCCTTCACTAATTATGTTAGTTTTCATCTCTTCAGACACAATCTTTCCTCTTCCTTTATGTGCACTCCCTCTGTAGAGGCAGAGTTAACAAGGATCGTTCAGTTTGACCCCTTTCACCTCCCTGGCACTCCCCCAGGGTCCCTGGCATTAGCACTCTCCACCACCAGCCAAACAAGGCTAGATGCAACCCTCCAGAACCTGTCAAAGAAACATCAAAACTCAGCCAGAAGAAATCAAATAAGCCATAAACCAGAAGGTTATTCCAGAGGAATTCTCTGGGGGGGTGCCTGGATTATCTCAATAGCTTTGTTGGCTTAAACACAGTTCACAGAGTTTGGCAGTTCTGAGTTCTGCCTCCCCAGAGGAAGCCCATAGGGACATTGTTCTCATATTTTCATTGCTTTTTTGCTTTGATCCAAGGACAGAGGCACATAGCCCATAGGAGATACTAGGTTCACAGAGCTAATAGAGTTTAAGTTTTCTGAACATGGTCCTTGGAGTTTCTGTCCTGGGAATATGGCAACTTCCTATTATATCAGTGAACATCAGTAACATAGCCGACCTAAATCTTAATCTACTTTTAATATTATCATCTTAACATCAGAATGAGTTCTAGCACTAATCACACATCCCTGGAGCTTCTGACCTTTGAGAATTAAATTATTTGAAAGAACATTGAAAACATGGAGAAAGCAGAAATATCTGCTTTCCCAATTGAAACAATCTCCAAGTAGTTTATTATGTGGGGGGCAGCTCAAAATTACATAAGAAAAAAGTTCTGAAAAATTGAACGCTTTCCTGAAATAGCCCAACATATAACCTTAAGAATATTTACGGTAAGCAAATTATGTCAATGACAAACACTGGGAGTGAACGTGCTAGCAGGATCTGACCAAGGACCTCGCCCCTACCACGAAGCACTGAGGAAGCGTTTCTGAGGGCTGCAGCATTCCGTTTTCTCCAGAAATCTGAGAGCCCAGCAGGGGACTGCAGGTGGGAAACGGCACTGACTGACAGTAGAGAACTTAGGACAGCAATAACGGTGATGTTTTAATGATTTGGCCAATGCTACTGAAAATGAGAACAACTGCCTGCATTTGTTTGCATTCCACTGAAGGCACACAGTACATTATGTGGCACATTAGACTTAAAAGCTCCCAGTGTATGCAATGAATTATGCAGCAATGTTTATTGAACAATTTTACTAATAAGCCATCTTAGATTTAAATAATAATAATTTTGCATGTAAGGCATACGGTAAAAATGATGCATGCATTCTAAGTGCCTGGAGCAAAGTCTACCTTCCTTAGCAGAAGGCTTACTGGGAGCCAACAGCCGAGGGTTTACCAGCTGTGTAGAAGAATGCTGTTCCTCTGCATGGAACAGCATGCCTCTAGCTCCTCCTGCCATTTCAGCCATTCTAGAGCCAGCCTTGTGGTGAGAGCTCAGGACTGTAAATACTACAAGTGTGAGGCTTTACCATTGAGAGTAACTAGTGGCCTTAGCTGGCAGCTGCAGATCATTTTTATGTACATCTGTCATGGTTTAACCCCAGCCAGAAACTAAGCACCACACAGCTGCTCACTCACTCCCCCCTGGTGAGATGGGGGAGAGAATCAGAAGAGTAAAAGTGAGAAAACTTGTGGGTTGAGATAAAGACAGTTTAACAGGTAAAGCAAAAGCCGCATGCACGAGCAAAGCAAAACAAGGAATCCATTCACTCCTTCCCATCGGCAGGCAGGTGTTCAGCCATCTCCAGGAGAGCAGGGCTCCATCACGCCTAACGGTGACTTGGGAAGACAAATGCCATCACTCCACACGTCCTCCCCTTCCTTCTTCTTCCCCCAGGTTTATATGCTGAGCATGACGTCATATGGTGTGGAATATCCCTTTGGTCAGTTGGGGTCAGCTGTCCCAGCTGTGTCCACTCCCAACTCCTTTTTGCCCCCCCAGCCTACTCGCTGGTGGGGTGGGGTGAGAAGCAGAAGAGGCCTTGACCCTGTGTAAGCCCTGCTCAGCAGTGACTAGAACATCCCTGTGTTATCAACACTGTTTCCAGCACAAATCCAAAATACAGCCCCACACTAGCTACTATTGAGAAAATTAACTCTATCTAGCGCTAAACATAGCCAGAGATAAGCAGCAGCTGATGAAAAACAAGTGAGAACTGCGAGATGGTGAAGTGACAATGTATTTTGGGATTTTGGTCCCGTTACATGGGAATCACCCAAATATTCCAAGAAGCCTATCAGGAAGGAAAACCAGAATTTTGCAGCACCACTCCATGTGCTTTAGGGTCTTAATGACTTATGTATTAGTATAATACATAACATTATAATGTGCTGCAATTATATAATTACAGCAATATTACAAAATATTATAATGCATAAAACTGGTATCATAATGTTGCATAATTATGATCTGCAATATAATACATGAACTGATTTGTATACTATGTAACGTTACCTTAAAATGTTACATTCTGGCATTTCCCATGCTCCAATTGCAAACTGCCAGTTAAAGCATTCCCTTAAATCCCTATCAACAGCTCGCTTCAGCTTTCCAGCCTACCTTAATTTCTTTTCTGTCTTCATCACAGTTTCTGCCTAATCTGGCTTGCTCACTGGGTTGTGTTCCACCACAATGCTTTTGCCTTGGCACATGTGGTATTCAAATCTGGTCCTGGTGGATTATAAACCATTTTGAATTAATGCAGAATTATTAAAGAATGTAATCACAAAACTACATAAAAATAAAGCTTCTCCACCGCTTTGGGTCTGGCTTCGTCTTTTCTGCTAACTAGAAAATAATAGTCTTTTGGAACTATTAGTGGAGCGTAGAAACATCCTTTAGATTGAGTAATATACTGTAAATTAGCAGATCTGCATACTGATTGTTGAGCATATCTGGAACCAATGGATCAGCTACAGTCTGTAACAGTCGCCTTATAGCTCTATTAGTCATGATAGCGATGGAGCCTCGCCCTGGATCACCCAAGGACCTGCAGCCTCCTTTCCAGCTTTGCTGTCCGCTTTGCGCACTCCTAGCCAATCTCCCAGAGGTAACAATCACTTCTTTTTTTCCTATATTAATTTAGCAATAATGTCTAATAATTGGGTTGTTGTTTTGTACTCTGCCAATTTAAATTCAAACGCATCATCTGTATTACTGTCACCTATGGACCGTGTTTCAGTTTCAGCTAACTTTAAAAATATGGTCATGTCATGTTTCCCCTTGAGTTTGCATAGAATTATCTATGTAAATAAAGGAGCAAATTCCAGAGCTAGCCAGAAATTTTGTTAGAGCTTTTTTCATGGATAGCTGAAATTTTTTAACTTTTTAGCAGAAATTTCTACTATTTCTAGGACATTTTTTTTTCCCCCTCAAAAAAAAATCAGGCAACATTCCAAAGCACAATTTTAAAAACCCAGCTTTTTAATAAAAAGCAAAGTTTTGACTACAGGATTGAATGAGAAATCAGGATTTCCTGCAATACCAAGTTGGATTTGTAGCTTGGGTGGCTGAATCTCCCCTCTGAATTAGAAGTTGCCACCAGACTACACTTGTCATCAAGCATTGCCAACACAGGACTCCCATGGTGGCTGAGCCAAACAAGCAGACAGGGGTGATGCCATCCAGCTACATAAAGAACAAGCCACATGCATTCCCAACAGCATCTTCAATGTTTCTGAAGTCTTCCATTTTAATTTTAACACAGAAGTAGCATTTTATATAGAATTTTTTAATACTCTACTATATGAATGTCTTTTCTTTCCCCTTCACGAGCTCCAGTAACTTCTCCTAGCTGAAGGTAAAGCAGGGAGCTCAGCACCTCAGAGTACTCAGCAGAATGAAGGACCAACTCTGATCATGATTCAGCATTTGACCAAAGGGCATAGCTGAAAAGACTGTAACTTTGAACTTATCTCTGCTTGATTTAATTTGCATTCAATGCCTTTCTCTGTTAATACAGCCTACTTGGCATTTCAGTCAAGTAAGTCTTCCTAGTTTTTTCCCTCCTCCATCACTTATATCCCATTCATTGGAAGAGAAACGGACAAAAAATGCCTTTGAATTTATCCAGGTTTCTTTCAACCCCCTTTAACTCTTCTTCCCTCTGTCTATTAGTGTCATGTTTTATAAATTTTGGCCTAGGTTTTGTGACCAGATCATGTCTTTCAAGGGAAAGATTTCCAAAGCCCATTTACGTTTCAGTATGGGACCGGAGAGCTGCCTTGCTCGCTGTTCACTCTGGGAAGCCGTGCTCACACCGTACTAATCACCTTGGATAACCTGTTCTGATAAGAGAGGCGATTCTGGTTTCTGACCTTAAATACTTGAAAGAGGTCAAATTATTGTACCCCCCTGAACAGTCATCCTGTGGAAGAAAAATCAAACCCTGGGGATACGTTTGGCTGAGTAGCTCGTGAGTAACATCAGACACTCGTGAAAATTTTGGTCATTGTGGGCTGGTGTTTTAAATAGTGATTAGTACTTAAATAATACCGTTTAAAGTATTATTTATACCTATTTAATATTTAGATGCCTATCTCCTTACCATAACCTCACTATCTGCTTTCCGGAAACCTAAATGTTTATCACCCTTGTCTACCTTTAGCAATAGGCGGCGTGCTCCGCTTTTCATTACACTAAACTTCACCTTCTCTTCGAATCCCTTCGGCTGGGGGCGAAACAAACCACCGGCTCGCAAGGCGTTGCTGTCGCCGGAAGGCAGGGGAGGCTCCCGCGGGGAGTTTTCCCACGGGGATCCCTGTACGTTGCCGCAGGGAGAGCTGGCTGCGGAGGCACCAACCTCCGGGCAGGCAAAATGAACATTACAATTCAAGTGGATTTTCAGCAGCTTTCCTGAAGCCAGATCTGCCTCTAAAGTGGTGGTTGAATTTCCCTCTGCATCTGCTGATCCTGAAGGCTGCTTCCGCTCGCAAGGGGGGGGGAAAGCAGGGCTGCCTGGACTCTGTGCCGCAGAGAAAAATTATATTATACCTCTCATCAGCTGAATGTTTTGATTACTGGTTGGATTTCCAAAAGGGTACATGGGATTTGGGGTAGAGTCATTCTTGTATTCACATCTGCTGGCTTTCAGTGGTTTGGAAGGCCGGAAAAAAGGGAGATGTCTAGAATTAAAAAAAAAAAAAAAAAACCTGAAACTTAAAATGAGAATTAAACTGACTTCAGGATTTTTAAAATGAAAATACTATTATATATAATACTAATAGAATACTATTTCTAGATTGAGGCGTAAGAAACACACCTCAAAAAACAAGTTCCCAAACAAATAACTGAAACACTGCTCCTCTGACAAATGCTGGGGAGCTTTGACTATGGCACCAGCAAGCTTCAGGGCTGTGAAGAGAGAGGAAAAGCCTGGAGCTTCAGGTATGGTGGGGCTGGAAAGCAGCTGCCACGGACAGTCGATGCTGTAAGTGGAAATGCTGGCTGCATTAGCCATCTGCTCAGGGGCTGATAGACGGATCCTCTTACCTGGATATCTGGGGTTAAAAGAGAGCCTATGGCCCCCTGAGGGTGGGGGCTGGAAGGGTCCTGTCAGGAGGCATGTGAAGGATGTAATGTAAAACCTGCTCTGCTCCATCTCCCTAAGGACGCCTTGCTGACTACCATTTTGGGGAAGCTCTGCAGTTCAGCTTGGGAATTTTTTTCCTGCCATAATTACATGTAGCTACATTTTTTAGCCCCTCCATTAAGTACATATTAGCTCTTTAAAAAAATAAAAAAAGCTCTCAGGGGATTTAATAGATTATTAGTTTGGGGTTTTTTTAATTAGCTGTTATTCACACAAATTGGGCTAATACCAAATGAAAAATATTTTCATGGAATTCACCACAGGCAAACTAAAACATCTTTTTGACATTATTTCTGTGAAATTAGGGCTATTTTGTCCCTATTCCTAGTTGCTTTATCATCTGTGCACAAATTTGGCCTGATACAACTTCTTAATATTCCCTGTTCTACCTAACTGATACCTGAGGCATTTTCCAGCAAACCCTGATAACATCATTGTGTGGACATGAGAGTCACTAGTCTGCACCATGCCTGTAAGCTGGTATAAAGCAAATGTGTGAAATCAGTCGTTTCCCCGGTCCCCTCCTCTGAATGCAGCTGAGCACGTCATGTGCTGCTGTCGCTCCCATGCCACGAAAGGGTTTGTGTTTTCTGTAACCAGTAGTTTTCTCTGAAGTCAAAATACTTCTTGTTGAAAAAGATGTACTGGTATATATATTGCTGTACAATATGTTTTTTTTCCCCTAAGACAAAGGCTGGGTCAGGCTCAGTGTGTTCAAAACTGGGGGGTCTCCAGTGCAACAGGAGATGGGTAGGAAATCAATGTCACCTCATATCTTTCTACCAATTAAGGCTCCTCCCATAAAGGTTCATATAAAATCTTGATTATGGGTTAGGATTTACATAAAGCTACTAAGGACCAGCAAGCCAGCTGCTTCATCAGTTAGTAGAATTTAACCAGCTTTTGACAAAGCTCTTGTTAACACTACACTGCCACAGTCCACAGGCAGGGCCAGCAAAGAGCGAGCAGCTGATGCTGTAACACCCGAGGGTGAGCTACAGCAGCTGTACCAGGTCCGTACCGGGGAGAAGAGAGTTTGAAGCCCTTGCTCCGCAGCGAGCACTGTAAAGCCCCAGCGGGGACTTGACGTGCAGAGGAGCCACTGCCCAGCTGCATCCTGAGCATCCCAGCTGGTCACCACCACTGCATGCAGAGGCAGGCAGCAAGGAACCATGCAACTCTGCTCAAGCTCCTGCCACCCTCAGCTATCCTCTGGAGACCTATCCTGGCCTGCAACAGCACGATGGGAGCTGGCACTATGGCTAGTAGCCATTTGGTTTTGTGTTAGAAGATGAGTGGAAACTACTGAAAACCTATAATATTCCTGCACATAAGAACATACATTGCAGCTCTGCTTGCAGATCAGAAGAGACAGCACTGGGCAAGACTAACATTTTAATCATAGGATTCACACTGAAAGTATGTACTATGATTTGCATTCATATTTCTGTCCACCACTAGTTCCTTTACCACCTCACAATATCTTTTACAGTGAACTGATGTCTCAAGTGTTCCAGTTTCTGCTTGGCAAGGGATGTTTACTTTATAGGAACACCTGAAAACAAATCTGGCTTGCACTGAAATGACTCAAAAGCTCCCGATTAACCTTGGTAAGAGTTGAGAAGAGTTCTGAACTAAGTAAAGCCCATTCTGGTATGCAGGAACCAATTGTGGGAGAAGGGGCCCATGGAAGAGTCAGACAGCTCCTGGTTGAGCTCAAATGCAAAAGGAAAGCACACAGAAAGTAGAAGCAGAGACAGGCTACCCAGGAGGAATATAGAAACTTTGCTTGAATTTGCAGGAGTGAAGCTGGGAAGGCCAAAGCTCAGCTAGGCTGGAACACGTAGAGGTCATGCTGGTCAGCAAGAAGGACTTCTATAAGCATACTGGCAGCAAAAGGAAATCTAAGGAAGACACAGCCCTGCTGTGTAATGGGGCAGGGAACCTAGTGACAAAAGACACGGAGTAGGCTGAAGTACTCAATGCTTTTCTTTCTGGCCTTAGGTTTCAACAGTAAGGTCTGCCATCTGGTCTCCCATTTCCCTGATCCTACTAGCCTAGTCTGTGGGAGCATGTCAGGAGACAGCAAGGGGAGGGCTGCTCCACTGGGGAGGGTGAGCCAAGGGTAAGGACAGCACAGGCAGAGATCTTACCATTGGGGCATAGTCCCGAAGCCCCTGAGCAGGAGCAGTGGCAGCAACAGGTCCCATCAACCATCCAGTGATCATCAGGCAAAGGCAAGGTAACAAGTCAGATCCAAGGTCAACCCAGGAAATCCACATAATGACTCATGACCACCAGGAAACAGGACTGGAAACAGGTCCTACAGCTGCAACATAGTTCAGGAAGTATATAGTCTGAGGCTCATAGTCTGAGCCTGAGCTTAAGAGAGCTCCTGGCCCCATGGTCAGTGGGTGTGTGGGTGAAGGTCCCAGGGGAGAGTGGTCAAGGCAATTACAGCCTATTAGTGCCCTCAGGGCCCTGGCAGAGTGAAGAGTTGCTTACAGTTGGGGAAGGTACAGTTAAGGAGTACTGGAGCCAATTGGCTAGATACAAGTCCGCAGGACCAGATAGGATGCACCTGAAAGTCCTGAGGTAGTTATTATTCGGCCTTTCTCTATCATCTCTGAAAGGTCATCGTGACTGGGGGAGATGCCTGATGTTTAGAAAAAATACATCACAGCTATCTTCAAGAAGGATAACCCAGGGAAATGCAGGCCAATCAGCTTTGTCTTAGGTCCAGGGAAGGTTATGGAGCAAATCCTCCTGGAAATCATTTCCAGCCACATGGAGGTCACGAAGCTGATTGGGAGAAGTCAGCATAGATTGTTCAAAGGCAAATCGTGGCTGACTAACCTGACCTCCTCTGATGAGATGCCTGGGTCTGGGGATAAGGGAAGGGCAAGATCCCAAGCTCTGGGTCTCAAGAACCTTTTCAAGGCACAGTGTTTCCTTTGCACAACATAAACATGTTGAAAGACTTCATCTGTGCTTTGTCTAGGCCAGCTTCCATAGACCATCCCAGACAATTTTACTAGATATACACATTCATAAACTGGATTAGACGAGGCATCCTGGTCCTGCAGCATAGCTGTTTCTGTGTTTCCCCTTGAAGGTCTTGCGAGGTTTTATTTCGTGTTTAAAGTAGTAAACTACTTTTTGTTGCCTTTATCTGAGCAGCAGAGCAGAGAGGGAGGCGCTGTTGGCTTGGGCCAGGAGGAAAGCTTGTGGGAAGTGTCAGTGCTGAGACCTTGGGTTTCACACAGTGTGTGTGGCATCAGGACGATCTTCTTTCAGTCCAATACAGCTAGGCTCAAGGAAAGCGTAGTCTCTCTTTCAATGAAATGTATGAATCAACCCTAAATATTTTGTCACCTGAAGACAACAGGTGGTTACAGGAGTGCAATTCAGCGAGAATATCTGTGGTGTAACAGAGGGGATAGTTCCTTTGGGGTCCACTGCTGAGCAAAGGAGTCACTCATGGGAATGAGCCCAACTGGGACCCCCCCAGTGCAGAATTCCTCTTTGTTGTGCACAGCTTTACGCTAAGTCCTGATGCTTTACCCAGGTCTGTTTCTAAATCTCACCAATGCACCCCACACCCATAACAGATGGAGATAAACAATACATTAAATCAGTGAACTTTTTCTTCTAGTGCCAATGCAGATCCACATTAGACTTGCAGCAGCTTTAGTAGAGCTACTTGTTAGAAGAGGAGGCAAGAAGTGCCTTTGTAAAGTGCATATCTGGGCATTTAAATCGGATGGCCTCTTTGCTAAAGGGATGGGATCTTCATTCGTTAAATAAAACACAATATGTTAATGGTTAACTGCACTGCAAAAAAAACAAGTAATGTCTAGACACTATTTTTCTTATTCATGTACTAACATTTCTCAACTCCTTAAGTGTGATGAAATATTTTCCTTCACAAGCCACAGTGCTTTTCAAAATGTAAAGAGTATAGCTTCTTATGTAATGGCTTCAATGGCTTCTGTCCCCCAAAACACAGAAAACATAGGTTGTTCTGCATAATACTTCTTTTACATTCAGGTGATATTTCTTCTACGTTCAGGTCATAAATGTGAAGGGCAAAATATACCAAAGTGGCAAATGATTTAAATAACAAAAGGGGGAAACTACAATGGATTGAAAATAAAGTCATACTTAGTTTTGTAAATGAGGAACTCATCAAATAGAAGTGTTTCCTGCATATAGTACTTTGCAGAACAAAAATAATCAGGCTATATCTAAAATTGAACACATGCACACCATTTCCTGCAAAGCTCAAACAAGACTCAAGTGAGGCTCAGTGCTATGACTGAACCTCTGATTCCTAGACAGGCTCTTGTGACTACTCATGAGAGCAGTTTTAGCATCAAAATGTTCTTCCTCACAGTCTGTGGCCTTGGATCCTTCTGAGAACTATGCATGTCCTTAATATTATGGGACCATGGCAAAAGGGCACTCCCTTTGGTTTCTGCTGTGATCTGGGGACAGGCTTTGTGCTGGCACCAGCTCCAACAAAAACTGGAGGTCTCTGTAGCCTGATTGACCCTGCCCAGAAACCACTACTCCTGGAGACATCTGCTAGCCAGGAAGGGTTGATGTGCTGCGTGATCCATCTGTGCCCCTTGCCAATGCCACAACACACCTTACATGCAGGCCTTTCTCTTGCCATTGTCTGGAGCGATCAGCTGCTTCAACTCCATGAATGTTTAAAAGTAGTATGGTTAAAAAGAGGCCATCTGGGTTTTTTTAATGAGTCGTGGAAAAAATGTTATGGTGATGAAGTGCCATTGGAGTCATACTTGTTGCACTGTACTATTCCTTCCTCTACAACTGTATGCAAATTCTTCAATGGGTTTTACTGAGATCTGATGTAGGCTGTTGTTGTTCTCTGATGTTTAGGGAAATTCCCAAATTAAAATTATTCCAGTACCAATTTCATAATTCCATGAAAAGTTTCATAAAAATGCCATTCTTGTCACTGCCTGAAATCATCCTTGCAATTGCAGGATATGTGGTTACAGTAGGAAGGGGAAATGGTTTGTTAAAATACATTTTTTTAAATATATATAAAATTTTTATAATGCATATTTTATAATAATAAAATAATATACAATATATTGTTATGTTATATGCTTTATATACAAAATATATAAAAATACACATTTCAGTGTAAATATATATGTATGTAGTAGTATATATGTGTGTATACTACGGTTCATAACTGCTCCCTCAAAGCCACAGTACTTGAAGCTACGTTAGGCTAAGGCCTAGCACTCACATTTCAGGGAAACTGGTAGAAAAAACCCAGTGGAATAAATGGTTGAAAACAAATGCATATGACGTACCGAAAAAGACTCAACAAAGCTTTTCCAGATGGAAAGTTATGTTTCACAAATCTATTGGAGTTCTTTGAAGAAGTCTACAAGCATGTAGACTAACTAGGTGGATCCAGTTGATATAGTCCACCCAGATCTCCAAAGAGCATTTGACATTGGCTTTTAAGGGAACAAAGTTTCCATGGGATAAGAGTGAAGGACTTTGCATGGCTAAGCGATGATTAAAAGATAAAAAAACCACAGATAAGAACAAATAGTCTTTCTCACAGTGGAGGAAAATCACTAACTGAATCCCACAGACTTGTGTTAGAGCCTGTACCATCTACTGTATTCCCATATTGTGTGAAAAAAGCCAGCTACTGAAGTAGTGATTTTCGCTGATGACACTATTCTACTTCTTTTTGCTGGAAGAAGTGACACTCTGGAAACCGTTGCCATGAGAAATTGTTGAGGCAGAGAGTATCAGCAGGTTCAGAAAAGGTTTAGGCAAATTCAGGGCCAATATGTCCATAAATCAGGAACTGACAGGGCAATGAAGTGGCATCACCTATTTTCCCTGTTGGAGACAGAACACCAAACTAGGCAGACTATTGCTCTGACTAAACAGACAATTTCTTATATTTTATGCACACTAACTTTTTCAGGGTAGTGAAGATGCAGGCTAAATATGAAGAACTGCAGAAACAGTCCTGAGTCGCTGGAAGATAAAATGGCCTGCGGATAAATGTGACTGTGGTGCACATGAAAATAGAAGTCCTAACTTCACAAACAGGGTGATGACCTCTGAACTAAATATTATTGCTCAGGAATGAGATCTTGGGGTTATAACGGAAAGTGCTATGGAAACATCCATTGAATGTCCAGTAGCACTGCATAAACAGTCAAAGTAATTGTTAGGATAACAGAAACCATCGTTATGCCATCAATTACATTTAGAGTGTGTCTGCATTTTGAATACTTTCATAGACCTCCATCTTGAAAAGGAGGTGAAATAACTGAAAAGGAAAACAGCAAGGACTAACTGGGACAATCAAATGTATGGAATAGCTTCAAAATAAGAAATTATTGAAAAGGCTAGGACTCTTCTGCCTGGGAAAGAGATGGCTGAGAAGGGATTTTTCAAAGGTCTATAAAGCCACACATGGTGCAAAAAGGGTGAAGCATTGTCTCTCCTAGTTCAAATTCAGAAGGGAGCGGGGTTTAAAAGGTGAATAACAAGTAGAAAGTTCAAAATAAGCAATGCATATTAAAGCTGTGATGCTCCTTTCCACAGGACATTGTGGCTGCTAGAAGTTTAGATGGACTCAGAAAGGGATCGGATTTTTTTTTTCATGAGTTTGCTCATCAAAGACTATCAGTTACAATGATAAAACAGCTGGTTCCTGAAGTCACTGAGCCAAAAACCATTGGAGCCTGAGTGAATATATCAGGGAAGCGTGGCTGTATGTTTGGGCTCTTCTTACATGACCCCAAATCATCCTTCCTTCTGGTTCCGGCCAGAAGGGTTTAGTACAAACCCCAGGATAGTCCAGCCTTGGCAAAGTGGTGCAGACCACACCTGTGGTCATCACAGTCTTCCCTTGACACACTCTGTGCAGTGATGGCCCCCTGCATGACATTCTCCATAAAACCTTGAGCACCCAATGAGCCTCATGATGCGTGAGGTGCACTGTACACTGTCACGGGTGGGCCAAGCAGCAGAAAATGGGCTTAGTGATGCCCTAGACATTGTTAAAAAGGATCTCGATACCTCTGTTCCCCAGCCCCTCATCTCATCCTCCACAGCCGGACACAGTAAAGGCACAGCCAGGTATCTCCAGATCCTGAGCTAGACAAAATTCTGTTACTGTTCCCTCTATCTCACC